TTTTCCGCAAACGCCAGAAATTTTGGACATTCCTGTCAAAATTTCTTGAAGAAAAAAGTCAGTACTTCCTTACAGTAAGGAAATGTCATTTCCTTACTGTAAGGAAATGATATTCCGTACAGTTGTTAGTGTTTACATATAATTGACAATTCAACCTCAATCACGTTTCCATAGTAACCCAAGTAATTTATTAGGAATTCAAAGTACATTATTTGGAATAAAATTATCGCGTTTTTATAAATCAATCAATATACGTCGAATTTAAACGATTTGCGGAAAAATCAGTATGTTTACTCGTAGGAAAAGCCACATTCCTGGACTCTGTTTGCTAAGTCTCGGCTTGCGCCTTCGACTTAGCAATCTTCACAGTCGTCAGGATGTTCAAGCTATTCCTACCGGTAAACATGTACTAATAAAAAATTTATATAGTATACAGGTAACAGTAGAACTTTGTTTAGGTTGGGATGACTATTTTCTTTTACAAATATTATTCTAAAGCTATTTTTGGTGGCATCTTAATGCAATTTACCCACATAGTTCACCCATTTAAGAAAGAGTTCTGTTGAGTCCCCGGCCTGTCTTTTGTGTAATATTTTGAGACGACTTATGGTATATTCCAAGAATAAACTTTTACGAATGTTTTGAGATTACGGATGTGTTCAGTATATTCGGACCGAGAATACTCTTTAAAGTATATGAAAAAACATGAATTTTTGAATGTTTTGAATGCTACACGCCATGGCTGTGCTACGCATAAACCAAAAAGAATATATTCCAGCGATTGTTGGTAGTATATGTTTCGAACATGGTGCGTAACATCATTGTTATGGGGTAGTAGTATCTTTCCTTATGGATAAGTAGAACTTATCCTTTAAGAACAAAAAATGATTGATATGTCAGTGGGTAGTTAAGATTTCATTCCTAGGTGGCGCTAGGAATTATCGTATCGGACAAACAGTGTGACTTCGTCCTAGCGTTTTATAGAGATAGATAAGTTTATGTATTTGTTCCATAAAATATATATTATTTAGATTGCTATACTTAATATCTTTATGATTTTAGATTTTTTAAAGAAAGCAGAGTTGATCCAAAAGAGATATAAAAAAATAGTAAAAGTCTGGATAGGGCACAAGCTGCATTTTATAATAAAAGAACCAAAATATATCGAGAAAATTTTAACTAGTCCAGAAACTGTTGAAAAGGATTACTTCTACGAAAATTATTCAGCTGTTCTTGGTCCTGGAATCTTCACAAATCCTGGTATGTTTTTTACATACAAAACTTTCAATCTACATTGTTATTTCTGATACATTTTTTTTACTATTGGAAGCTGATACCTTTGTTATGTTTACGCGACAACAAAGCAATAAAATGTTTTATTAAACTGTTTTAGTGATAAACAAAAATACTTGACATATCGATTATTTTTAGATACAGTTTGGAAGAAACAAAGAAAACTCTTAGGTCCTACAATGAATAAGCTAGTACTTAATACATATATACACAAGTTTTCGGAATGTAGTTTAGAATTTGTAAAACTATCTGGACAATACATTGAAGAACCACGATCTAGATTTGACTCTTCTTGCAGCTAAGTACTCAACAGATCTTTCATTCGTAAGTATTTATTTAACATTTTTTAACAATTTATGTGTTCTACAGTCTTTTATTTACTCTTTTTCCAAACAATGGTACGATTACTAATATATTATGAAAATGAACTGTATAGAACTGCAACGAATACTAGTTTAAACCAATTTTGATATCTGAAAATTGAATTCTACGGGACTTTCCAGATTTTATTATTGTTGGAGCTTCACGAAAAGATCTACAATATATTAGCCCATACTTGTTTTATTTCAATGGGTTATTAATAGCTTTATTGTTTTGTGTAATTAATCGGTTAGGTGCATTTGTTCGTGATTTTTCAGATAATTCTTTCACATTTTTATGTAAATTACTAGAATGGTCTGACGGTTGAGATATGGGTATTATTTAAAAAATCTCAATGAAAATGTTTATAATTGATTAAAAACAAACAATGAAAACCACAGGAGAAATTGTATAAGCATAACTTGCATTTATTTTTTGTTTTGGTGATTTTTTTTATTTTGACCGATGTGCTTAATTTGGATGTGAGTTAAAGCTCTTTCAGTTATATATATATATATATATAATATATATATATATATATTATATATATATATATATATTAATATATTTAAAATGGCCAACATATGGCCTATGGAGACAATTCGTTAAACTTCCCGTGCTCGAATTGGTATCACTAAAGTGTTATGATCATTTCGGCCATATCCCAGCCATCGTCAGACACTTGGGCTGATACAAATTCAAACTCGGAAAGTAAAACGAATGTCTCCCAAATCTTCACTACCGTGTAGTTAGCTTATAAAGGCGCCCCCTACTTTGAAGGCCGTGAACGAAACGATATGATAATCGTTTTCTGTATCCTTTATGCTATGCGAAATGTGTAAAGAATTAAATCTTTTAGCGAAAAGCCGCTATCGCTTTATTATTAAATGGCCAACTATATGGCATAGGAGACAAATTCGTTAAACTTCCGTGCTCGAATTGGTATCACTAAAGTGTTATGATCATTTCGGCCTATCCCAGCCATCGTCAGACACTTGGGCTGATACAAATTCAAACTCGGAAAGTAAAACGAATGTCACCCAAATCTTCACTACCGTGTAGTTAGCTATAAGCTACATAGGGGGCGCCTTTATAAGCTAAACTACACGGGTAGTGAAGATTTGGGAGACATTCGTTTTACTTTCCGAGTTTGAATTTGTATCAGCCCAAGTGTTGACGATGGCGTGGATAGGCCGAAATGTCTATAACACTTTAGTGATACATATTCGAGCAGGGAAGTTTAACGAATTTGTCTCCTAGGCCATATAGTTGGCATTTAATAATATATAAAGCGATAGCGGTCTTTCGCTAAAAGATTAATTCTTTATATACTATATATATAATTATATATATATATTATATATTATATATATATATATATATAAATATATTATATATTATATATATATATATATTATATATAAATATATAATATATAAGATAATTGTATATATATATATTATATATTATATATATATATACAAATATGGAATATGCTGTTTGGGCCAACATCTGGTCATGCCGACAGAATATTTAAATTACAAAAGAAGGTGGTGAGGATACTTGCTGGAGCGGATTTAAGGGATCATTGTATAACCATTATTTTTGGAACATGGGTATTATGGCCCTCTACCTTCGCTTTATATGTATGCAACACTGTTGGAAATTCACGATAATAAAAATAGTTTACTATAAACTCCAATTACATGATATCTAACACTGATCGAGGATTTAATTAGGTCACAACGATTACAGACTATCAAAGAGCACAAAGAATTCAATTGATATTCACTTGTATAACATAGCCTAACGAAATAAAAATTCTGTCTCACACACTGTTTAAAAATAGGATCATGAAAGCATTTTTTAACATATTGTTTTTACTCAAAGACAGAATACCTCAATAACACCATTTATAACGTATACCCTGTTTGGTCAGAATACTGTCGATTTTACTATCTACATATCACATATGTATTATTACTATTTAAAGTTTATGTATTAGTTTATTTAGTCATCGATTCGGGAATATTCTTAATTATTTGTACATTTTGTTACATCCATATTTCAAAGATTTTTTATGTGACAGTATTTAATAGGTTTGTTAATTTTAATTCTTCTGCTAACACTTACATATGTATATTACTTTAGCCAATATGGTTATAGTTAATTCTCTAAGTTTACATTATTATATCTTTTATTGTATTTTTTATACGGACTTCAACTTTATGTAAACGTGGTCAATAAACGTTCGATCTATATATCTATCTACTATCATATATATACTATATAATATAGCATATATATATATTTATATATATTATAAGATACTATATATTATACTATATATATAATACATATATATATATATATACTATACTACTATATGTAAGTAAGGTAAAACACAGAAGTACTTGTGACTCGTTGGAAATATAATTGTTTTGGATGGGTGGAGTCACATAAAAGGGGCTATTTGTTGACTATTTTTTACTCGAGCTTTCAATTGTGGTTACAATTATTATCCAAGAGCTTCTAAAAAACTACAAATATCTTACCAAAGTTGAACTAGAAACAAAAAATATTTTTGTTAACTCCAAAAAAAAAATATTAGTTTTTTTATAACACAATTCGACTGACAATATATTATTACAAAAAATATTATATTAAAAAATGTCCTATTCTAATAAATGTTTCTCTGAAATAAATTTTGATAAAGTTTCTTAACAAAAACAATTGAATTTGTAAACAAAAATTGAATAGCTACAAATCAACCTCAAATGTCATAAATACCAACTTAAAAATTTTATTTTTGACATATTGTCAAAATAAAAATTTTGTTTAAAAAATTCTTTTATTGTTTAGTAACAAAAAAGAAGAAGATTTATTACCAATGATAGATGCCTGACAAAAATATAACAAATACATGGAAAATTCAAAATGTGATATTTTACTGATTGCATATATAAATTACATAGAAATAATATAATTATAAAATTTGCTTAGATTTTGAATTTCTGACCTTTTGTTTAAAAGTTATTATAAACTTATATAGCTAATACAAACCATGTTTCAATCACACATCTGTTTTGATTCTAATAGTATTTATATTTAATGGTGTTTTTATAAACAAATTTTTGTAGCCGTATGGATGTAAGTCTTTCAATCCATTCTAAGTAGCTATGTCATGGATGATGTTATTACGTGATTGTATCAATAATTGCATTTTTTTCATTCCATTTATCAAAAGATATGTAGATGATCTAGTTTTGTGGCACTTCCTAAACACAAAATTCTTGAAATAGTCAACATTTTCAACAATCATAATCAACATATACAATTTACAGTTGAGGAAGAGGTAGATAATTCTCTACCATTCCTTGACATGAGAATTGTAAGAATACAGACAATATGTTGAAAACCAGATGGTTCAGAAAAACCAATATGTTGAGTTAATAGATTTTATAAGCTATTACTCCTCATCATCCAAATAAGATTAAAATGAACCTTATAACAGGGTTAAAGGAAAGTGTTTTAAAACTTTCTAATCCAGCTATCTACAGATGATCTTCATATGTTAAAAAATATTTGGAATTTAAAACTCTTATTCATCAGATATGCTACATAAGATGCTTTTTTTCTAATTTATTAATATAAATAACTTAACACCATTTTTTGCTAAATTCAAAATACTGTATCCAACATCAGAACAAATATTATCATTCCTACCTTTTATACCATCATTAACTCACTAAATTAAATACAAACACTAAAGGTTATTGACAAATAAAAATGCAACAAAGAACAACAAAACCATTCATCTTTTATATTCCAGAACTGAATATCCTATAGACAAAATTAGATCAAACAAATGTAGTATACAGCATTGGTTGTACTCAGTGTGAAGCCGAGTATGTTGGTGAGACTGGAAGAAATCTCTCAAATCGCATTATTCTCACAAAAGTGATTGCAGAATTAAGAAACCATTTTGTGGCTTTGGCAGAGCATGTAATAGGACAAAGACCATATTATGGATTTTGATAATATTAAATTTTATATAGTGAAAGATAATTAAATTTTAAAAGAACTTTTTTTAAAATAGAAATTCAAAATTTAAGCAAAATTTATAATTATATTATTTCTATGTAATTTATATTGCAGTCAGTAAAATATCACATTTTGAATTTTCCATATTTTTACATTTTTTCAGGCATCTATCAATGGTAAATAAATTCTTCTTCTTTTTTGTTACTAAACAAAGAAGAATTTTTTAAAACAAAATTTTATTTTTGACAATATGTCAAAAATAAAAATTTTAAGTTAGGTATTTATGACATTGAGGCTGATTGTAGCTATTCAATTTTTGTTTACAAATTCAATTGTTTTTTTTAGAGAAACTTCATCAAAATTTATTCAGAGAAACATTTATTAGGAATAGGACATTTTTTTATTAATATTTTTGTATTAATATGTTAGCAGCAGTTTTATATAAAAAACTAATTTTATTTGGTGAGTTAACAAAAAATTTTTTATTTCTAGTTCAACTTTGTAAGATATTTGTATTTTTTAGAGCTCTTGATAATAATTGTAATCCAATTGAAAGCTCGAGTAAAAAATAGTCAACAAATAGCCCTTTTATTACTCCAATCCCATCCAAAACAGTTTTATATATATATTATATATATATTTATATAAATATATATTATATATATATATATATATTAAAATATTTTTGTTTAAGGTACAAGTATGTGCGCCGAACAAGTTCCTGAGCATATTAAGAAAATAGATCTCGGATATTGTCTGAAGTGGTAAGATATATTTATATTCAAGTGTAAGAAATGGATTATTAACTAAATAATCAGTCAATTTGTTACATTTTAATGATTTTCCCAAATGAATGTATGATACATAACTTGTTCGATAATATTTTTGAATAAGCTTGCTACGAAATTTGTATACATATGTTTAATTAAGTACATAGTTCAATCACTTGACGTGTTGATAATAGTTGTTTTCGACTTTCTCCTGTTTTTAATGTTCATTAATTAGCAAGTGTTCAACTGCTAACTTATAATTACCTTTAAAATTATGGTTTATTACGAAGTAAAATTTAGTAAGAAAACGATTTAATTAAATTAAAATCGTAGAAAAGATAGCTGATAAGTGACTTTTTTTTTTTTTCAAATTTTCCATTTCATACACAAAGTTGCTTGATTTAGACCACTATTAAAGGCACAGTAACTTTCATTTATTATTTTAACAGTACAACTAACACACAATACAACTAAATTCGTAGAAATTCTCTAAAGGGGATAAATGCAAAGCTCAAGTAGCCACCCCAAGTGTCAATAAGCGGTTAACTGATAGAATATAAAAATTTGGCATTAAAAATAGAAATACAATGAAATTCACAATTAAGTCGTAAATTTACAAAATTCCTAAAGTAGATAGTGGTATTAGACAAGAAGATGCACCAAGGCCATCCATATTTAATATCGTTATGGGTAAGGTAAGAAATAAAATTGTAAATTCCAATTTATGCTAAGTTTGTCAGAAAGAAGCAGATTTAAACCACATTTTCTTTAAATGTACAAAAATATATACAACAAATTGACGACTTAATAAAAAAATTTAATCATACCTAAAATCCTCTTCTACCCTGTAACATTTGTTAACTTTTGTCATTAAATATACAAAATTGTATAGAGTAGAGTTTTATTAATTAAATCTTGCCCAGTACTTTTGCTTCCTAGAGCATCTTCTAGGACATTTCGTCAATTTGGCCAATCAACAATTACAGAATGTCATAAAGATTAAAATTGTATGTTTATGTTTGTATGTAATTTGTGCTGATCAATAAATGGGGCCAATAATACCCTACTGAGTTATTATTAACACACATTTTTCACCTGGGTGACGCCGGGTATCACAGTGCTTGGCTACTCAAATTTACACCAAAAATTCATAACCGTACTATTAAAACCACTGATAATGACCAAATATATAGCAATATTTCCAAATTTCAATGAAACTAAATTTATTTCCTTGTAGTTTCTAAAAATCTTAATATTCTAAATTTTTGTGAAAGTGGCCAATCACTAGTGATCAGCCAACAACCTGTACCCGTTACCCTATGAAAGGGAAATGTTCTTCACTCCGTCTTACCAGCACTTCTATCCTAAAAGCTAAATTAACCACGATAAATGTATCATTTAGTGACTAACTTCATTATAATATATTACAACTTAGTGATTAATGTTAAACTTTTTCCAGCATTACAAAAATTGGATCATCAAAGTACTTAAATATATTTTATCATATAAACGCTTTGTGGAATTTAACTTCTTTAAAGAAGGAGTTTGATAAGTACGTTAATTTAATGCATGAAGTTACCAAATCGGTAAGTAAAATATATTGTCTTTTTTTATATCGACGTTTCTAAAAAAATAACACACTATACTACCTATACACAGTTTTACATGAACAAAATTATAAACAAATCTCAAAACAGGTAAATTTTTGTTTTTAAATGATGATTTCCTGGCATACTGTATGCAAATTATTTTAGGCTGAGGAGGTAAGGAAATAAAAGAATATTTTTAATATTGGCAATATTAGCGTAAAAAAGCGTTCTTAAAAATGTAAGATTTTTATTAGTAGAAGGAATCGGCGAGGTGGGGCTTACATTGTTGCCAATTTATTGTTTTTATTTGATCATTTCGTCTCTTTTAGCATTTAAAAAATGTGAAAGAAAATGAAATTTATTTATTGTCGCAATATTTTGAATATTTAAAAATTCTATTGATTGTTATATATTCTATATTCAGAAACAGCTGTAGTGATATAAATATAAGTAGGTTTATTAAATTTTGTTTTCAAAACAAAAACTTTTATATATTTTATTTCCAAACAAATCGTTACCTTTACCAAACAAAACCAAATCTCTCATACAGTGCCTTTCATGGCGTTGAGTTCTTTATGCGTTTTGTTGTGGCAAGTTCGACTATCTTGTGTTTCAGGCTTTGTACAAATTGATCTTTAGCATCCTATAAAAATAAAATCTGGAAGAGTTAAGTTCTGGGGACAAAGCTTAAACTACTTTACTTGCGGTTAGATTTCCTGTGATGAAAAAAGGACAATGATTTCCCCCAAAATTTAAATCAAAAGTTGATCTTTTGTGGATTTGCGTACGCATAGACGTAGAAATTCTTATTTTTTTGAGACCAATAACATACAATGGATGTTTTATGTTTTCTGCCAATTGTGAAGATAACATCAGTTATATGACATATATACCAAAAAATCATAATTCAAAAATAAAAATCGATTACGGAATTATTAACAAGTTTTTCTTTGACACCGTGTATAGGAACCTTGTAATCTTTTGCCATAAAGCTTTCCTTTTATGCATTTCTAAATCAAGTTTAACAGATTTTTTTATCTCTTTATATTTTTTTATTATTTAAGTGTATTCACATGAGGAAATCACAACATAACCAAATTAATCAATATACATATACCGAAAGCTTTACAGGTAAGATTTACATTTTTTAACAAAATTATTTAACAAATTCCACAAACTTGTTTTAATTTACAGAAAAACCTGAAACAATAACTCACTTTCTGGACGCTCTTTTTCAAGGCAATCATTTTACTGAAGATGAAGTTGCATCCCAGGCAGAAACTTTTTTAGCGGCGGTACGTATTGACCTTCCGATTATACCAAATCTACTTAAAACATTTCTTACAGGCAACTGAACCAGTTAGTATTGCCATTTGTTCGGTTTTGATCATGTTGGCGATGCATCCAGATATGCAGGTAAACATATTTATTTATTTTTGGGTAAAATAATTTTAAAACTATGTCTTAAATATCAAGGTTTATATTCTCTTCACTAAAAAAGGCGATGTAATATCGCCAGAGCCCTAAAAGACGTCTTCAGCGTCTTCGCTGACGATATCATGGGTGCATAGTTCGTCTGGCAAATTCGAGGAACTACAATCTATAATGAAGGATTTCTAATTGTCGAAATCAAATTTAGATTTTTGTTTTAATCTGTGCCTTCTAAGAATTGAATTTGGTTTTGACAATTCGAAATGAGCGGATTTCGAATTTCGTGATTAATTATCAGATTACAGTTCAGAGCATCTGTAAATAGCCGCTCCAAAGATTCCTTTTAGGATAAAATACGTATAAGAGAATATACAGAGGCACTATACTTGAAATGAAATCTTAACTGTCTTTTCTTATAATGAAGGAACTTACAGACAGCTCTTAATATGTCGGCCTAAAAATGAATATAATAAAATAAAGAAAACTGCAATTACAGACGACCCCAGATGTATAACTATAAATGCCAATGTAATAGGACAATTCCAAAAATATATCTACCTGCTATACCATCTACACTGCTAGACAAAAGTACCAATATTAAAACATTACAAAATTATATTGTAGACACTATAAACGTTGACGATCAAGAAGAAGACCACAGATGGGATGGATATACGACATAAAAAGAATAGCTAAAACAAATTGGAAGTATATTGCTCAAAATAGAGATAGGTGGAGGAAGTTGGAAAAATCCTATGTCGAAAGATGGAGGATAGAGAGCTAAGAAGAACAAGATTTTTCTTTATAATTATGTTTATTTACTATTATATTCTTATTATATTTTAATTTAGTTTTAAAGTAGGTCTTGGGGTTAGGTTCTATCTAGTCTTCTTGTGGCTGGACCATTGTTGAATTATTCCCTTACCAGCTCATTTTCATGGTAAATCATACGTTCATCTGTGTCTCTGTGGATCGATGAATTTCTTCTCTGATGAAAGGAATTTTTAAGTCAGATTTAAGTTTTGATTACTGAAATACGTTTGTAGATGTTCAACAAAGATCTCTACTCTTTCTTTGTTGGAACAGGCCTATTTGCCATTTGGTTTACGGATGGGAAAGATAGTTGTGTATGCTTTCTTAAGGGCTTCTTAGTTGCCTTTTATAACATCTGGTCATTTGATATAAGGTTTGTAATGTAATGTTCGAAGGTTTCGTTGTTTGCGGCTTTGATAGCTACTCCAAGTTGCCTACGTAGAACAAAAAATGAAATAATTTTTGGATACATTATTTTTAGGAAAAAGTTTACGAAGAAGCAGTAGCAGTCCTTGGGCAGGTTGGTGGAGTGACTGATTCTAATTTGCCATTGTTGAAATATACAGAAAGAGTTATCAAAGAAACTTTGCGGCTATTCCCACCTGCACTTATATTTAGCAGATTAGTCACGAAAGATTTAGATCTCGGTAAGTTATTAAATATTTAAAATGTACTATTAAACTTTAAGTATTTTTCATATCTAGATCTGGAGATTATAGATCTGGAGAAGGCTTATGATACAGTTCCTTTAAATTCATTATTTAGTGTCTTGACGAAAACGGACCTTAGTAAAAGCATATCTAAAAGCAATACTGATCATCTATAGATGTCCTCAAAGCACTGTAAAAATAGAAAATACTTTCTCAAGGGTATTTACAGTAACGAAAGTCTTAAGACAAGTATGTTGTCTATCCCCACCCTATTCAAAATATATATCCAAGAAGCACTGCACCAGTGGGGACAAAAATGTGCGGGAATAGGGTTGAAGCTTAACAACCATTATCTGACAACGCTGTTCTTTGCAGATGATCAAGTACTAATAGTAAGCTGTGAAGAAGATGCAGATTGTATGCTTAGAAAGCTCAAAGATGAATACGAAAATGGGGGATGAGTATGAATATGTCAAAAACAGAATATATGCGAATAGGCAGTGAAGACAAAGACACGGATTTGGAAATTACACAAATGAAAAGGTGCTACGAATACAAATATTTGGGAAGTATTATCTGCAGTAAAGGAACAACGGAACGAGATATAGACAACAAAGACTTTGGTCCAACAAAGCTACTCTGAGAACTAAAATGACAATCTACAAAGTAATTGTAGAGCCCATTCTTACAGATGGAGCAAAATGTTGGCAAATGACATTAAAAGGAAAGAAAAAAGTTGACACGGTTGAAATGGACTACCTGAGAAGAGCTTGCCTTATATCAAGAGTGGAACGTATACCTAATTATGAAATTAGAAGAAAAACAAATAGAGTACATACAACTTCTGAAAGAATAGAAATTAGATAGTTATTATGGTATGGACACGTACAGAGGATGAACGACAACAGATGGCCAAAAAGAGCTATGGAATACAATCTAAGTAATAGAAGGAAACTAGGAAGACCAGCCAAGTCTTGGATACAAGGTGTTATGGAAAGCATGAAAGACAGAGCCATTGATGAAGACACCTGGAGAGATAGAAAGATATAGCGATCGAAATGCGGGAAGCGGCAGAAGCTGCTGTATGAGATAAGCGCTTAAAAAAATAATCCCTGTTTAGTTAGAGCCTTCGAGAATGTCACTTTTCTTGTGGATAGACAAATTATGCCAGTATTCCAGTCGCTAGGAAAAGGTTTTTCTGTCCACACGCTTGTACTCATCTATATGTAGACGTTTATTGAGGTCTTCTTTAAAATTCTTTAAACAGTTCTTCTGGCAGATTGTCAGTATCGGGTGACATATTGTTTGACAGCTTATTCATTACTTTAGCTACATCGGCTAGTGATGGTGGTATCTCTTGCTGTTTTTTCTTTCTATTTATGCTTCACTTTCTCAGTTTACAAGTTCACTAAAGTTTTCTCTTCATAGCGATATTTCTTTGTTAATTACAGTGAGATAGCCATTTTTTTAAATTGTGTTCTTCTTGGTATTGATCTATCTTGCCTGTTGCTAAATACCAACTATTTCCTGAGCTTCCGATTAAATTACATCGATTATTTTGTTTCACTTTCGTTTATATTGGCAGGTACATTTTAAAGGAGTTCTGTTCTATCCAGGTAAGCTGAAGTGCTTACTAGGTAAGGATCTCTGATATAGTGGTATATGCTGTTAAATGTATTTTATTCAGTTATTTGTAAAACGCAAAAGAAATCCTAAATTGTAGATGTACAGTTTTTATCTATTTTTTTTCCTTTTTTTAGGTGATGTTGTTCTACCTGAAGGTAGTTCCGCAACTATAATGCCTCTATTTATCCATAGAAACTCTGACTATTGGCATGAACCACTTAAGTTTGATACTGACCGTTTTTTACCAGAAAAACTTAGTACAAGACATCCATGTACTTTTATTCCATTTTCATTTGGCCCTAGAAATTGTATAGGTAAGTATTTGTAGGTAAAAAAAAATATTTAAAAATTCCTTTATTCATTTATAAAATGTATAATATTCAAACTCTATCGGACTAGATTACAGAACGTTTTCAGAATAACTATTCCAATATCAGTGCTCTCTGGATTTACATGTTTACATTTTTCAACTTTACAATCTATGATGTTTAAGTTACAAAAGGAATAGTTAACATGTCAACGTAGGACTCCACTGGAGGTTGCTGGACCTAAGACGAAGTATCTACGAGGACTTGATAGTAACTGATGATGACATCAAAAACTGATCAGATCAATCGTTGCGGAATAAATTTTGCGAGACATAATTCTCCAATCTCAAAGGTCAAAAATGAAGACAGCAGCGTTGCCACATGTTTTATTTTTCTTTCTGGAAGCAGTCTACCATAAACCAGTTGCCACAAGTTTGGATAGTAGCGCGGATCGGGGATTGGTAGAGAGCTTAAGAGTTGGAGAGGAGTATTTCTACAGCTAGAGATCTTGGAAGTAATCTCCTTAGTTCTTTTGCACACACAGACACCTATTCTACTAGATGAGTGGGTTCGCAACTACTAATCAATGAGTTACGGTTTATGTGTTTACTTTTAGGGTACTTAAAATAGTGGATACTTAAGTTATTAGATAAATAGATATAAAGGTCTTGTAACTGAACAGTTTTTTGAATATTTTGTGCTTTTATTCGGCTCATGAATTTGTACTCTTGTTAATTTTTTTCTTTTCCAAATAAACGATACATCGTTATACCTATTTAATTTTATTTTATTTTTAGGTCAACAATTTGGATTGATGAGTTTAAAAACCGTTATAGCGATAACAGTCCGACAATTTCATGTACTTACGGACTACAAAACTGTAGAAGATATTGATTTGACATTTGGGCCTGTATTCTCGTTTGCTCTAGGCGATAAAATCAGATTTGAAAGAAGAATAGAAAAGGAAAAAAAAATTTATGTAATTTAAACTTAATTTTTAATATTTTCTTTCTCGTAGAAAACCTCAACGATAATAATAAAAAGAATGAGTTTACTTTTTATTATATTTTATTTTAAATTAAATACACTTTTTCCATAAATGAAGAAGAGGGTAAATAGAACCTAACTTTAAATGTTCATGCAATTCAGGTCATGTACTGGCGTATTTCAGTATTTTTCAAAACTTTCACGTTTTATTTTGTTTGTCTATTATTTAAGGGTCCACACTGTAATAATAAAACAGACAAAAGAAACATCCAGTGACTCTATAAATAACTTCTCGCTAGAATAATTGTAGAGCAGAATATTTTTCATCTTTGTTAATCCCAAAAGTAGAAGTTGAACCGTCAAAACAATTTAGAGCGGAGATTTAATAAGACTCCCTCCCCGTCATAAGTAATACTTTTGAGAGACAGCAGGGTGACTGCACCTAGTTTATAAGCAGGCCAAAACATTTGTTATCATTTTAGAAAGAATTGTACCAAGATACACTGTAAAAATTTAGTAAAATATAAAACTATCAATGTTATTTGATTATAAAAATTATAGATTTTAAGATAATAAAGTTGTCAATAAAAGACTGTAAAATAAAAACATTGACAGACATTTGACACAGACTGTATACAAAATACAATATAATAAAAACAATTTGTATTCAGAGCCGAACAAGGAACGAGGAAGGTACTCTTCAGTTTGAAAGTTTGAATAGAGAGAACAGGGATATCAACTGTGGTATTCCTGATTCTCACACGTGAAATATTGCGTGGCCCTGAAAAGGGCCAGGCCTGTCTTCTAAGGTAATAATACTGCTTGTATATTAGGCAATACTCCACCTTGGGCGATGGTAACTCCTGAAAGCAATTTGTTTAACTTCTCGTCATTTCTTATAGCTAGCTTTTAATGTCTAGGAATTATACGGGTCTTTTTGTTTTCTCTTGCTGCGTTTCCTGCTAATTCGAAAACTTCAGCAGCTATATATTCCATGACAGCAGCCAAGTATACAGGAGCTCCAGCACCAACTCTTTCGGCATAATTTTCTTTGCCATCCTTATGCACGTTTCATTGATTTTAAGAAGGCATTTGCCAAGGTCTACATAGAAAACTAATTGATATTCTAAAAACATAAGGACTCGATGGTAAGAATATAAGCCTAATCTCAAACTAACATCTTCAACAAAAAGCAAGATAGAGACCTTGAAATATTGAGACTCTACAGAGCTATATGCCTCTATTGGACTACTACTAACTGTAGGGCTTTCTGGTAATCTATAAAGCATAGGAAGACATCTTTTTGCTGATCTCTGTATTTCTGAAGTAGGACAGTTAAGCTATAAAGTGCTTTTTCTTGTGCCAAATCCTTGTTTAAAACCGAACTGTGTGGGGCTAATGTCTCTTTCACATCTGTTGTATATTCTTGTGTAAATTATCTGTAAGAACAGTTTTAGGACCTGGCTCAATAAGCTGATCATTCGAAATTGGTCGCAACTATTAGCGTTTGACTTTTTTGGGGTTGGTATAAAGGTTGATTGAAGCCAATACTGTGGTATTTTACCGGACCCATAAATGTAGAATAGAATAGAATAGAAATATGCTTTATTGTCACTGAAAATTATTGAACAATTTTATGGACAAAGCTAAAAAATAAATCAGTCAAATAGGACAAAAAGTATAAAACAAAAACAAATATAGTAAAAAACAGAATAACACAATTTTAAATTAGTAAAATTATTGTATAAACCTACATAATTTTATACAGACAACAACAAATGAGACAAATTGTAGCCACTGCTTGAGACACCCAAATGTAATTATACACAATACTAATTTTATTTTTTTGTTATACATTAAGAAACTCGTCAACTAAATAATATGGTCTTTCTGAGAGATAGATTTTTGTCACTTACGAAACTTAATGAAGGTTGTTGCGGATTTTAATTTCTCTTGGAAGGTGATTATAAAGTTTCTTTGCACAATATAGATAGAATTCTTTACTAGCTGAGTGGACGGGATCGGCAAATAAACGTTACAATCCGAATTTCTAATGGAGTAGCCATGGTCAGGTTTATCGGGAAAAATGTTTAGATGCTTTCGAATCAAACAAACCGTTTCCAAAATAAATAAAGAGGGAAGCGTCAAAATGCCGTGATTTTTGAAGTAGGTCTTGCAATGAGTTGTTTGTTTGAAACCAAATAGATAACGGATTGCTCTTTTTTGCAACTTTCTTTGTACTAGAACCCCAAAATGGAAGCCCATATCGAAGATGGAACTCGAACAATGAGAAATATGCCATTTTGGCAGAAGATAAATTTAGTTCCTTCGAAACAGATCTTATTGCAAAGCAAGCTGAGGCTAGTTTCTTCCTTAAGGAGTCAGTATACAAGGACCATTTGAGATCACTGTCAATGAGAATACCTAGAAATTTCACGGAATTTACGATATTGATTTGGCTCTCATTCAAAAGCAAGGGTTTCATGAGTCCTTTATAAGATAATGCTACAGTCTTATCCACGTTAAAGCTAAGTAAGTTGGAGTCTGACCAAGAAAAATTTCCCTTTAATTTTCAAGTAAGTGATGTCATTAATGAAAAGTAAAAAAGGAATGGGACCCAATACTGAACCTTGCGGTACTTCACACTCAATATCTTTACAACTAGAGTCGGTGTCATTAATTCTAACCAATTGTTTCCTACCTACCAAGTAAGTTTTGAACCAGTTCAAAGACACACCCCGAATTCCATAAAATGCTAATTTTTTTAATAGAATGTCGTGATTTACGCAGTCAAAGGCTTTGGAATAGTCGCAGAAAACGGTGGCGGAGGAGAGGTTATGTTTAGTAATCACTAGTGCATTTATTAGACAAAAAGCCGAACTGATTTTGCGATAAAATAGTATATTTAAGGAGAAAGGGCATAAGTCGAACTTTTATAAGTCTTTCAGTAATTTTGATAGTGCTGGTAACAAGGCAATAGGTCTGTAGTTGCAGGCATCAGATTTTTCATCACCTTTATGAAGAGGAATGACGATGGCAGTCTTTAGTCAGTTAGGGAATGTACGTTTTTCAAGGGAATCATTTACTAGCGAGACCATGACCTTCAAAACATTATGCGGTAGATTTGAGAAAATTTTAATAGATAATCCATCTGTACTACAGGACGATGTGCTTTTTATACTACGAATTGTTGAAATGAGTTCCGTCTTATCAACTGGTCTTAAAAGAAGGTATCAGCAATGTTTTATTGAACTAGAGAGATAGGAAACTGGATCTTGTTGTGGCGAAATAGTTGAGGTTATATTTTTACTCACATTAACAAAGTAATCATTAGATTCTCGGGGTTAGGAAAAGAAAAAGGTTTGATTCGCTGTACTGGTTTTATTACGAAAATCGTTTATTATTGACCAAGTTTCTTTTGAAATATTTTTGGAGCTTGTTAGCGATTATGAAAGTAGGATTTTTGGCTACTTTGAGTAGTTTTATATAGCATTTTCTGTACTTGTTGATATAATTAGAGATGGGATACTGTCATTAAATTTTTTAATATATAGCGGAGAACGCATATTTTTCGCAGATATGCGAATGCCTTTGGTAATCCAAGGTTTGTTATGTTTTGGCCTGATGTTAAATAGAGGAAATGCTTTATTAAAAATAGATACAAGTCTATTTAGAAAATCACTAACATTAAAGTCAATGTCCCCAGAAGAAAAACTCTAGTCAGAAGTCAAGCATGAATTATAGAATTTACGAAAGTTTTGAGTGGAAAAAATCCTACCTAATCGTCGGGTTTTTGAGTGAGGTGTTTGTAAACTGCTAAACTTGGTATATACCGCTTCATGATCAGAAAGCCCCCCACTAATAACTGTAGAATGGACGTCAGCGGGTGGAAAATCGGAAACCACATAATCAATTGTCGAGGATGATGTTTTTGAGATTCTTGTTGGAGAACTAACGTGCATTGTGAGACCATATGATTCAAAAATAGTTACCAAAGACAGTTGGGTCGCACAAACAGCAGCGTAGTCAATATTAAAATCACCACATAAAATTTTTCTGCTTTTAATGGGCAGAATATCAAACAAATTTAGCAGGCTCTGAAAAAATAGTTCAGTATCAGAGCTAGGTGATCTATAAATGCAAATAATGTATAGGTTAAACTTCTTATTATAAATCAAAGAAAATTCGAAGTAGTTTTCACCCAGCAAATAGTCATATTTCGAAACTGAAGAAAAATCATTGTCATTGAAAAATCATTGTTTCACTTCACTCAACATTGTTAGAACCTCCATGTATATGTCGTCTGGGCCTGATGCTCTTCCCCATTTGCTCTGTTTGATTGCCCTTATAACTTCTGACTTCAATATTTTGGGGAAGGTTTCACTTTTATATTCACTTTCAGAGTTTCTTCTAGTGTTGTCTGAGTATAGTTGCTGTGTGTACTTTCTCCAATGTTGAAGTAAATCAACTCCAATCAATCCATTGAATGTTAACGTGGTCATGTTTTTCTTCCAATTTCTCCATTTCTGCACACCTGTCTAGTAGCCACTGTTCTTTAGCTTTGCGACACTCTTTTCGTATTTGTCGGGTAATCTACCTTAGCATTGAAATCTCCCATGATTATAAAAGTCTGGTTCTTCTTGGTCAGTTTCATTAACTCCTTATTCTCTCTGTATAATTGTTTTACTTTATTTTCAGGCTATCAAGGCTAAACGTCAAAAAAGATAGAGAACTGCTAAAGGCTATTAAACATCGAAAAATGTCTTATCTGGGACATATAGTAAGGGGAAGTCGATATAAAACATTACAACTGATCCTCGGATATCAAATGCGGAATATTGCATATTGCACAAGATCGAGAAACCTTCGCAATGGTGATCGGCAACGTCGGATAATTCTGATATAGCACGCGAAGAAGAAGAAGAAAGACAATTCTTGCCAGTTGCGATATTAGAATTTTTTACTGTGTATATTGTAGTAATTAATATTGAAAGTGATCGA